CCACTCTCACACACACTACAGCCACTCTCACACATACTACAGCCACTCACACACACACTACAGCCACTCTCACACACACTACAGCCACTCACACACACACTACAGCCACTCTCACACACACTACAGCCACTCTCACACACACTACAGCCACTCACACACACACTACAGCCACTCTCACACACGCTACAGCCACTCACACACACACTACAGCCACTCACACACACACACTACAGCCACTCACACACACACACTACAGCACTAACACACACACACTACAGCACTAACACACACACACACTACAGCACTCTCACACACACACACTACAGCACTAACACACACACACACTACAGCCACTAACAACACACACACACACTACAGCACTAACAACACACACACACTACAGCCACTCACACACACACTACAGCACTAACACACACACACACACTACAGCACTAACACACACACACACTACAGCACTAACAACACACACACACTACAACAACTCTCACACACACACTACAGCACTAACACACACACACACTACAGCACTAACAACACACACACACTACAGCACTAACACACACACACACTACAGCACTAACTCTCACACACACACACTACAGCACTAACAACACACACACACACTACAGCTAACAACACACACACACACTACAGCACTAACAACACACACACACACACACACACTACAGCCACTCACACACACACACACACTACAGCACTAACACACACACACACACTACAGCACTAACAACACACACACACACTACAGCCACTAACAACACACACACACACTACAGCACTAACAACACTCACACACACTACAGCACTAACAACACACACACACACTACAGCACTAACAACACACACACACACTACAGCCACACACACACTACAGCACTAACACACACACACACACTACAGCACTCACACACACACACTACAACCACTCTAACACACACACTACAGTCACTCACACACAACACACACACACTACAGCACTAACTCACACACACACACACTACTAGCCACTCACACACACACACTACAGCACACTCACATACACACACACTACAACCACTCTCACACACACACTACAGTCACTCACACACACTACACACACTCTCACACACACACTACAGTCACTCACACACACACACTACAGCCACACACACACTACAGCGACTCACACACACACACACACTACAGCCACTCACACACACACACTACAGTCACTCACACTGTTACGGACCCGAGTCCAACGTCCGAGCACGGAGCAGTGACGACCACGCCATCTGTGGGTCAGCTCCCGAAACCCCCTCCAAATGGACGCCGCCATCAAGTGAGGACAGGAAATACCAGCCACAGGGGCTAGTTTCCCGTCATGATCAGCTCATAACACAGCCGCTGCTGACCTCTGGTGAGGTGGTGCTTAGACAGCAACGCATCTATGGAGTGGATAGGTGGGCGTTTGGGTCTGAGCCGGTAAGTGACATGCCCTAGTGTGTCCCTAGTACTGATGACGTGTCTGATTACAGGATCGACCTGGGACGCTGTAATGAACGTTGGATGAGTCTACCCAAGGCAGTCATCTTGTCTCCAAGTGTTTGCTGCAGCAGCTGTGAGTCGCCCCCCCGGATGAACACTGTGGTGTTACCCTGCCTGTGACGAGGCAGTTGAGGGATTGTAGTACCCGGGACTGACTGGTGGAGACGCTTAACCACTGGGGTGTTGTGGCGAGGAGAGTGGTCTGTGGGATCACACGAGGCTCCTGACTAGGGTTCGCGACCTTAGTATCGATCGTGGAGTGGCCTAACCAGCGTCGCTGATTGGAACCTGCCAGCTACCGCCTGGACTTGTGGTTGATGGCCTCCACGACGGTGCCCCAGTGGAACTGTGATTTAGCTGGCCGGTGGCCAGGGTAGACTCAAGAGGATCGAAGGATTCATCGTGAGGCCACAAGAGGACCAAGAGCTTAGCACCGATGAGCACCGTGAACGTCAGAGTCTTCAGAAGAAGACAACGTTGTGCATTCTAGTGTTTATACCCCCCCCTGTGTAATCGTTTATATAGTATTTATGGTGATGGTAATAATTATATTATTAAGTTTTGCCTTTATTTCCCTTCCCCTTTAATTTACTTGCCTTACGGATCACATCCCTTGAAAGCCACTACTAGCTTGGGGCCGGATACCCTACCTCTATTTACATCAGAGAAAGAACCCAGTTGCGACCCGAGAGGGCCGTAACACACACACACACACACTACAACCATTCACACACACACACACTACAGTCACTCACACACACACTACAGCCACACACACACTACAGCCACTCACACACACACACTACAGCCACTCACACACACACACACACTACAACCAACTCTCACACACACACTACAGTCACTCACACACACACTACAACCACTCTCACACACACACTACAGTCACTCACACACACACACTACAGCCACACACTCACTACAGTCACACACACACACACACACTACAGCCACTCACACACACACACTACAGCCACTCACACACACACATACACTACAACCACTCACACACACACACTACAACCACACACACACACACTACAGCCACACACACATACACTACAACCACTCACACTCACACACTACAGCCACACACACATACACTACAACCACTCACACACTCCCCCTTCCCCACTGACATCTGCCTCGTAGGAGGCCATCCAGGGCCAGCCAGGAGGGGGGCGTCGTGCCCGTCAATGATCCTGTCAGTAAGGGCGGAGACGCCGCAGGAGGTGGGCAGGACGGGCTTCACCAGATTCCCCGGCCCCGGGGCAGCGGGTCCAGGAGACGAGCAGCACACCAGAGGGAAGTTGTTGTCGAAGCCACAGATGGCGCTGTGGAGGATGGAACAGTTATTGTGGTCACGCACCTTTGTATGTGGTCACACACCTTTGTATGTGGCCGCGCATCTTTGTATGTGCCGCGCATCTTTGTATGTGGCGCGCATCTTTGTATGTGGCCGCGCATCTTTGTGTGTGGCCACACACCTTTCTATGTGGCCACAGACAAACAAGACAGCAGAGACATGATCATAACATCATAGATTGTTACATTCACTGTAACTATTTACTGACACAAATATGTTTTTTTCCAAGAGTAGAAACAGATGATACTGTAATAGTGTAATACTGAGCAAGTCCAGTGTGCATGAGCAAGGGTTGGACGGGAGGAAGTGTAATACTGAGCAAGTCCATCATGAGCAGGGGTTGGACGGGAGGCAATGTAACAGTAAACAAGTCCAGAGAGCATGAACAGGGGGTTGGACGTAGACAGAGAGGAAGGGGGACTTACCTGCGCAAGGTGTCGACTGCTTGCGGGGGCGCCCGTCCTGCCTTTATCAGGTTGAGGAGAGTGAGGAGCGCGGGACAGTTGATGATTGGCCCACACACGCCCCGCCGGCCCCTCGCCGTACAACCTGCCACACACACACACTTAATAACACACTTAATAACTGCCACACTCTGGTAGATGGCAGAGAGACGAGGCACGCCAACCTGGCCAAGGGTGACCAGTACACACACCAACATGTAGTGAGACATAATTGGGGGTTAGAGATGTAGAAAACAACTATATATATATATATATATATATATATATATATATATATATATATATATATATATATATATATATATATATATATATATATATATATATATATATATATATATATAGATATATATATATATATATATATATATATATATATATATATATATATATATATATATATCTATATATATATATATATATATATTGTGACGATAATCTCTTTCAAGAGAGATGGAGCCCGCCCTTCCCTACATCATTACGTCGTACATACAAGATACTATATAGAAGATACGTCCACCAGTATCGCCAAACGTTTTGCCCAGGAAGCAAATCGTACCCTGCAAACCCCAACACCTGGCCACAGCCCGCCGTAACCAGCAAACTGCTCATCCTCTACCTCCCTGTTGCTGATTGGCTGGTGTCTCGTCGCACCTGCACTCACCACCACCACCGCTAGTCGATGTCTGGGCAGCAGCACGCCAGACTCGTCAGAATATCTCAGTGCTCCTTGGAGTTGACATCTCTCGCTGGTAGACTAAGCCTTGGCTTTCGTGTACTAAGGGAGGTGGCAGCTTGAAGCCAGTATTCCAGCACCCATTATTTAATTTATATTGCTATCAATATTTTTGCATTCTGGTCTTAGAGTAACTTTTCATTGCCAGTTATTATTCATGTTATTTTGTTTGTTGACTTGTCCTGCATTTTATGAGATTGCCTTTATTCATGTCTTGTTTTCTAGAGTAATTAAAATTTCATTGTTTATATACTTGTGTTTTGTGTGTCTTCCCATTACCTTACCACAGACGAAAGGACCAACTTTTCTCTTTTTTTTTGTGATGTGACGAGGCCCTGCCCCCAGCTTTTGAAACAGCCGAACACTAACGCTTTACCGTCACAATATATATATATATATATATATATATATATATATATATATATATATATATATATTATATATATATATATATATATATATATATATATATGTCGTACCTAGTAGCCAGAACGCACTTCTCAGCCTAGTATGCAAGGCCCAATTTGCCTTATAAGCCAGTTTTCATGAATTAATTGTTTTTCGACTACCTAACCTACCTAACCTAACTTTTTCGGCTACCTAACCGAACCTAACCTAACCTATAAAGATATGTTACGTTAGGTTAGGTAGGGTTGGTTAGGTTCGGTCATATATCTACGTTAATTTAACTCCAATAAAAAAAATTGACCTCATACATACTGAAATGGGTAGCTTTATCATTTCATAAGAAAAAAATTAGAGAAAATATATTAATTCAGGAAAACTTGGCTTATTAAGCAAATCGGCCTTGCATAGTAGGCCAAAAACTGCGTTCTGGCTACTAGGTACGACATATATATATATATATATATATATATATATATATATATATATATATATATATATATATATATATACATATATATATAACTAAAAAGATAGTCAGCTTCCGTAAGTTTCACAAATTTTATACTTGTAAATTGTTTTAAGTAATCAAGGTACAGTACTTTAAATTTAAGTTTAAATCCTTAGAAAGTATGTGAAGGGAAATACATTTGTACTGTACTTCCTGTGGCGTCCAATACAGCTGCTTGCAGAATATAGTAAAGAGAACAGAGTTAAAAAAAATAGTTTTAACTAAATGTGTTTGAGCAATATATAGTTTTCTTACCAATATACAGTTGATGTTCTTACCATGTTTTAAAATCAACTGGGAAAAGATTACTGGAATCAAAATACAAAACATGGGTTTTGATACAGCAATTTACAAAACTTTAGTATTTTTGTAAATCTCTAATTTAATGTGCAATCAATAGAAATAAAGAACAAAAAATAACTTGAAATATTAAGTACACGTGTGTGTGTGTGTGTGTGTGTGTGTGTGTGTGTGTGTGTGTGTGTGTGTGTGTGTGTGTATTCACCGAGTTGTGTGTGCGGGGGTTGAGCTTTGCTCTCAGCCAGCTGGCTCTTTTGCTCAAAGCCAGCCTGGCATATGCCGCTGATGTTATCCGCTTGATATGTGCTGCAGGAGACAGGTCTGGCGTGATATCAACCCCCAAGTCTTTTTCTTTCTCTGACTCCTGAAGAATTTCCTCTCCCAGATGATACTTTGTATCCGGCCTCCTGCTCCCTACACCTATCTTCATTACATTACATTTGGTTGGGGTAAACTCTAACAACCATTTGTTCGACCATTCCTTCAGCTTGTCTAGGTCTTCTTGAAGCCTCAAACAGTCCTCTTCTGTTTTAATCCTTCTCATAATTTTGGCATCGTCCGCAAACATTGAGAGAAATGAATCTATACCCTCCGGGAGATCATTTACATATATCAGAAACAAGATAGGTCCGAGTACAGAGCCCTGTGGGACTCCACTGGTGACTTCACGCCAATCAGGGGTCTCACCCCTCACCGTAACTCTCTGCTTCCTATTGCTTAGGTACTCTCTTATCCACTGGAGCACCATACCAGCTACACCTGCCTGTCTCTCCAGCTTATGTACCAGAGGCCAGATTCACGAAAGTTCTTACGCAAGTACTTACGAACGTGTACATCTTTCCCCAATCTTTGACGGCTTTGGTTACATTTATTAAACAGTTTACAAGCATGAAAACTTCCCATTCAACTGTTGTTATTGTTATAAACAGCCTCCTGGTGCTTCGGAGCTTATTAACTGTTTAATAATTGGAAACAAAGCCGCCAAAGAGTGAGAAAAGATGTACAGGTTCGTAAGTGCTTGCGTAAGTGCTTTCGTGAATCTGGTCCCAGCCTCTTATGCGATACTGTGTCAAAGGCTTTCTGACAATCCAAGAAAATGCAGTCAGCCCAGCCCTCTCTTTCTTGCTTAATCTTTGTCACCTGATCGTAGAATTCTATCAAGCCTGTAAGGCAAGATTTACCCTCCCTGAACCCATGTTGACGATTTGTCACGAAGTCTCTTCTCTCCAGATATGATACCAGGTTTTTTCTCACGATCTTCTCCATCACCTTGCATGGTATACAAGTCAAGGACACTGGCCTGTAGTTCAGTGCCTCTTGCCTGTCGCCCTTTTTGTATATTGGGACCACATTCGCCGTCTTCCACATTTCTGGTAGGTCTCCCGTCTCCAGTGACCTACTATACACTATTGTGTGGCAAGCAAAGTGCCTCTGCACACTCTTTCAGTACCCATGGCGAAATCCTGTCTGGACAAACAGCCTTTCTAACATCCAGATCCAGCAGGTGTCTCTTGACCTCCTCTCTCGTAATTTCGAACTCTTCCAAGGCCGCCTGGTTTACCTCCCTTTCTCCTAGCACAATGACCTTACCTTGTTCTGTTGTGAAGACCTCCTGGAACATCTTGTTGAGTTCATCACACACCTCTTTGTCATTCTCTGTATACCTGTTCTCGCCTGTTCTAAGTTTCACTACCTGTTCTTTCACTGTTGTTTTTCTTCTGATGTGACTGTGGAGTAGCTTTGGTTCGGTCTTGGCTTTGTTTGCTATATCATTTTCATAACTTTTCTCTGCTTCTCTTCTCACCCTGACATACTCATTCCTGGTTCTCTGGTATCTCTCTCCGCTTTCTGGTGTTCTGTTATTCCGGAAGTTCCTCCACGCCCTTTTGTTCAGTTTCTTCGCTTCCATACATGCCCTATTATACCATGGATTCTTCTTTTGCTTCTCGGATTTTTCCTTTCGGGCCGGGATGAACCTGTTTACTGCCTCCTGACACTTTTGGGTGACATAGTCCATCATGTCTTGTACAGACTTAGCTCTGAGGTCTGTGTTCCAAGGTATTTCCCTTAGGAAGCTTCTCATCTCCTCATAATTTCCCTTTGGGTATGCCAGCCTTTTGTTTCCTAGTTCTTTTTGGGGAGATAATTCCTAGCTCTACCAGGTACTCAAAGTTCAATACACTGTGGTCACTCATTCCCAAGGGTGCTTCCATTTTGACTTCCCTTATATCCCACTCATTTAGGGTAAATATCAAATCAAGCATTGCTGGTTCATCTTCTCCTCTCATTCTTGTTGGTTCCTTGATTTGCTGGCTTAGAAAGTTTCTTGTTGCCGCGTCCAGCAGCTTAGCTCTCCATGTTTCTGGTCCTCCATGCGGGTCTCTGTTCTCCCAATCTATCTTCCCGTGGTTGAAGTCTTCCATGATTAGTAGTCCAGATCCATTCCTGCTAGCAACAGAAGCTGTTCTCTCTATTATGTTAATGGTGGCCATGTTGTTTCTATCATATTCCTGTCTGGGTCTTCTGTCATTTGGTGGTGGATTATATATGACTACGACTATAATTTTTTGCCCTCCAGTTGTTATTGTACCTATTATGTAGTCACTGAAACCTTCACATCCCTGAGCAACTAACTCCCCTCCTCCTGTGTGTGTGTGTGTGTGTGTGTGTGTGTGTGTGTGTGTGTGTGTGTGTGTGTGTGTGTGTGTGTGTGTGTGTGTGTGTGTGTGTCTGTGTACTCACCTAGTTGTACTCACTTAGTTGTGTCTGCAGGATCGAGCATTGACTCTTGGATCCCGCCTTTCGAGCATCGGTTGTTTACAGCAATGACTCCTGTCCCATTTCCCTATCATACCTGGTTTTAAAATTATGAATAGTATTTGCTCCCACAACCTGTTCCTGAAGTGCATTCCATTTTCCCACTACTCTCACGCTAAAAGAAAACTTCCTAACATCTCTGTGACTCATCTGAGTTTCAAGCTTCCATCCATGTCCCCTCGTTCTGTTACTATTCCGTGTGAACATTTCGTCCATGTCCACTCTGTCAATCCCTCTGAGTATCTTATACGTTCCTATCATGTCCCCCCTCTCCCTTCTTCTTTCTAGTGTCGTAAGGCACAGTTCCCTCAGGCGCTCCTCATACCCCATCCCTCGTAGCTCTGGGACGAGTCTCGTTGCAAACCTCTGAACCTTTTCCAGTTTCATTATATGCTTCTTCAGATGGGGACTCCATGATGAGGCGGCATACTCTAAGACTGGCCTTACGTAGGCAGTGTAAAGCGCCCTAAATGCCTCCTTACTTAGGTTTCTGAATGATGTTCTAACTTTTGCCAGTGTAGAGTACGCTGCTGTCGTTATCCTATTTTTATGTGCCTCAGGAGATAGATTAGGTGTTACGTCCACCCCCAGGTCTCTTTCACGCGTCGTTACAGATAGGCTGTTCCCCTTCATTGTGTACTGTCCCTTTGGTCTCCTATCTCCTAGTCCCATTTCCATAACTTTACATTTGCTCGTGTTGAATTCCAGTAGCCATTTCTCTGACCATCCCTGCAACCTGTTCAGGTCCTCTTGGAGGATCCTGCAATCCTCATCTGTCACAACTCTTCTCATCAACTTTGCGTCATCCGCAAACATCGACATGTAGGACTCTACGCCTGTAAACATGTCGTTAACATATACAAGAAATAGAATTGGTCCCAGCACCGATCCTTGTGGTACTCCACTTGTTACTGTTCGCCAGTCCGACTTCTCGCCCCTTATGTGTGTGTGTGTGTGTGTGTGTGTGTGTGTGTGTGTGTGTGTGTGTGTGTGTGTGTGTGTGTGTGTGTGTGTGTGTGTGTGTGTGTGTGTGTGAATGTGTAGAATGTGAATGTGTGTGAATGAGCAAGCACGTTGTTGTTGTTATAGACTCAGCTCATCGGAACATAAGTTCCAAGTATCACGGTCTATGGTGAGCCCGTAGAGCGTGCAGGCTTGAGAAAGATAGTAAGAGAGCATGAAGATAGTGTTGACCATCACTTACTGGCTCCTTGCTGTGCGTCACAACCCACCGTCACCATCGCTGTCACCATCATCATCATCGCCGTGAACCGACCCATTATCACACCTGCGGATCAAATATCACCATTAGTCATCACTAATATATATTATATATATATATATATATATATATATATATATATATATATATATATATATATATATATATATATATATATATATATATAAACAAGAAAACGGCCAACCTACTCATGAGAAACTCTCCAGACACAAAGCAGAACGCTTTAAAAGAGACCAACGTCGTCTATGCCCTCAAATGCCCTCTTGGGGACTGTAAGCCTCAAAGAACTCAGTGTATAGGCAAGACAACAACATCTCTTTCCAGGCGATTAACGATGCATAAGCAACAGGGCTCCATTAAGGAACATATAATCTCTTCCCACAACCAAACCATCACCAGAGAAGTCTTAACAAACAACACAGAAATCATCGATAGATACAGCGATAGCAGGCGGCTTGATATTTGCAAGGTACTACACATTAAGAAGTCGACACCAGCAATCAACAGCCAATTAATGCACAACTATATTCTACCCACTTCAAGACTCCGCTCCAATATAGAAGCATCAAGAAATATGGGCCAATAGGCCCTTTGCATTTACTTCCATTCTTCCCCTTTAACTTTACCCAATATTACCTAATATTTCGTGTTCTATCTTGTGTTGAAAGTTTGTTTTCACCTCATCCAAAACTGTTGTAACATATCACCTCACCCAAATGCAGGTATATAAAATGAAAAGCCGTTTGAATTATAGCATAATAAGAAATCTGTTCTAGTGTTTGCAGGTTATAGTTGTGTGTTTAAACTAAAGTCTTTGAAAATGTAATAAGTTATTAAGAAACGCATTCAAGTGTCGCGTCAGACTAGAAATAAAAATGAATTTTGGAGAACTGATTTTTCAATTACCATCGACAGTGAAAAGAACCATAAGAAATATTGAGAAAATTCGTGTTAGAATTATTAATCTTACTTTTTCGGTCATATTTAATAATATATGTCTACAGGAAAGGCTGCTACCAAAATATACTAATATATATATATATATATATATATATATATATATATATATATATATATATATATATATATGAATAGTCTTGGATAAATAGTCTCACGACTACCAAGATTTTTGTAGAGTCGTTTTGGTCTAGTGGCTAAGGTACCAGGTACGCCAAGGTGCAAAGCGCTCCTGGCTATCTGGATTCGAATCCTTCTGGGGTGTGGAGTTTTCAGTTGCATATTGTCTTAGGGACTACTCGCTATACACTTACTTTACACCTCTCTATACACTGTAGAGGTTCGCTATACACTTACTATACACCTGCTTGCTTCATACCTGGTTGATGGGGTTCTGGGAGTTCTTCTACTCCCCAAGCCCGGGCCGAGGCCAGGCTTGACTTGTGAGAGTTTGGTCCACCAGGCTGTTGCTTGGAGCGGCCCGCAGGCCCACATATACCTGGTTGATGGGGTTCTGGGAGTTGTTCTACTGCCCAAGCCCGCCCCGAGGCCAGGCTTGACTTGTGAGAGTTTGGTCCACCAGGCTGTTGCTTGGAGCGGCCCGCAGGCCCACATATACCTGGTTGATGGGGTTCTGGGAGTTCTTCTACTCACCAAGCCCGGCCGAGGCCAGGCTTGACTTGTGAGAGTTTGGTCCACCAGGCTGTTGCTTGGAGCGGCCCGCAGGCCCACATATACCTGGTTGATGGGGTTCTGGGAGTTCTTCTACTCCCCAAGCCCGGCCCGAGGCCAGGCTTGACTTGTGAGAGTTTGGTCCACCAGGCTGTTGCTTGGAGCGGCCCGCAGGCCCACATATACCTGGTTGATGGGGTTCTGGGAGTTCTTCTACTCCCCAAGCCCGGCCCGAGGCCAGGCTTGACTTGTGAGAGTTTGGTCCACCAGGCTGTTGCTTGGAGCGGCCCGCAGGCCCACATACCCACCACAGCCCGGTTGGTCCGGCACTCCTTGAAGGAAACAATCTAGTTTTCTCTTGAAGATGTCCA